ATAGTCTTTGAAATTGTACTTTATTTTTATCAGTGACTAGAATGTTTCAATATTCAATAAATTCCTTTCTTTGGTCCACTGTTATGTCACTAGTGAACATTTTCTTTCAACGTTGGCATTATGAGACCCCGCTGGACCTAGCCCCCCCCCACCATTGTGAATCAATTTAAGAATGGTATCCAATTTATGAGCTATTTAGGAGCTTTTCATATCGCAAGCTTAAAATTTTAGAGCTCGCTTTAATCACTAGGAATCGAACATTTCTTATGGGGTGGCCGAGTCTACTTGGACTCAGCCCCCCCACTGATCAGAATTACTTTTTTCAAATTAAATTTGTACTGGAATTACGAGCTATTTAAGAGCTTTAATTTACAAGTAATTTCGATTTTTGAGCGCCACTCCTAAAAGAGCAAATAGATATAATCGATGGGGCGGCCGGTTCCACTTGGACGTAGCCCCTCCTCTGTTATCGTTTTCAAATTAATTTTTATGCATAGTGGGGTTGTTATACGCCAACACCAATATTTTTGTCATTAAAGCACCAGATTTGGTACACTTTCTACTTAGGTGGACCCGAATGCAAATCGCCCGGGAGGCAGCGGGAGACACGCTGCTGTGAGGGAGGGGGAGGGGATAAACTTTTCTTACGCCGCGCGCGCTGTTGGTCGTCATAACTGCTAAATTATAACTACTAGGGCAAGTGTGGTATCATTTTCACATAAATAAAAGACGGCCATTCATTTTCTGAAACAAAAAATGCATCCTTACGGACAAAAAATCGAATTACTGTAAAAAATCTAGAATTTTATTTACAAAAATACTGTTCAAATGACCATAAACTTTGAACTAGCGCGGATATCGCCTACAAAAAAATATAATTAAAAAGCCACTACGTATTCTAAAAATATAAGCCTTCTTGGAACAGTTTAATAAATAATGCGTTAAAAAAATATTAAACACAGCGCGGCAGAAAAATAAAATGCCGTGATTAGGTACCCGCCCGAAGATCTACTGAATTATTAATTATAGTAGTTGAGATTTACTTGGGGGGGGGGGGGCTAGGTCCAGCGGGGTCATTAAGAACAGGAATGCAAAAAAAGCACTAGGCAATTTTCAATAACTCCAAGTATAAATGACGATTCGGTATTTTAAAAAATTGTAACCAAAGCTGATTGGCGCTTAAAAGTTTTGTTGGCTTACATTTTGACAGAAACTGATATAGATGGCTCAGTAGCTTAAAACCCGGATTACCAATGAAACCCCGCCCGGACGCTCCTCGGACGCCCCCTAAACTAGGACAAATCCGGACGGATGGCAACCCTACGTAAGTGGAATAGAATACGAGGGCGCCAGAACGGCGCAGCGTCATCAGAGGTTGACGGCGGCTCGGCGGCGAAACTGGTAGATTCTTCGTACGTTGGTGAAGGCTTCACTCACGTCCTTAATGGAAGAGCGTGGGAGAACTCAATACGTAGTAGCACCAGGCCTCTATCTGCCTATTCCCGGTGTCTAAGCGAATCTAAATGTATGGCAAGCAAAGTGTATGGAACTTTCTCGCAACTCATGTACCTACCTCAAATGTTTCTGCTTGCTCTACTGTCAATTATTGGCAACTGTGCCGGTATTAGGTTTACCAATGTTTTGCAATCTTTGTGCTTGAAATGTTTAGAAAGATTTTAATGTATACTTTACTTACCGTTTTGTTTTAACGAATACGCAAGATTATTCCTAACGTTGGTTTACTTGTTTCACAAACCGACTTTGTGATTCAATGGTAGCGCGTTGGGCTATAAATCCGGAGGTCGGGCGTTCGAACTTGGGTTGAGGTGAATTTTTCATCTGTGATAGAGATGGGAATTGCCTTAGACCAGTTTCGAGCATTCTGCCGGCTACTTCGAATTAGGTTTTCCTGCAGAGTAGCTAATTCGTAAGGTAAATACCGGACTAGTATAGAACAACTTAAGACCTTCTGCAGAGGCACCTCTAAAAAGCATTATGCGGGTCACTCTGTTATTTGGCGCAACCCTGTTGAGAGCCTAGAACCAGAGATAAATAAATAAATTCTCTTTATAATTTTTGTGAAACAAGTTTCAATAGTAACATAAAAGTATTCACCTTTTATTGGTATTTATTTTTTGACAGGAAAATTGTTTCCATATAATGTTACATAATAACAATATTGTTAAGTGTATTAATTATAATATTAGGCTTTGATTATAAAATGTCTATATTCAAAGATATTAGGTACGTTTACGTATAACAATTTTAACTGTTGTATCGTAGAAAACGGATGATCCGTGACTCCAGCAAAATTATGCTTCACTGCATCTGAAAAGAAAAAAATCTGTTGTAAGACATTGTAAAAAAATATAATTATGCACCCAAATGCTAAAAGTGGTAGTTTTACCCCGCAAATCGTTCCCTTTAGCAGAAACTTACATAAGCGTTTTTGAAGTAAAAGGCAAAATCTAAAGAGGTATGGGGCTTAAACAATTTTTAATTAGTCAATAACCATTTGGACAAATTTTTGACATTGTTTAGTGCCGAAAAATGTGTTCTCTCAAGGGAGAGGTCCTTTCGCCTAGTAAAATTAAATAAAGTAATTGATTTAAATTAGGAATCAAACAGAATTTAACTCCAATATAAACACAGAAATTCTCTCACCGGGAATAAAGCGCTATAACGTTTCATCAAAAGCACTGTTGTAATTTTGATAGTATAAGTACATCTGATTTAAAATTAATGGCATTTGTTGATGATTTGACAAAATTGTTGCACTTACCTTTTTATTTACTTCTTCGGCCGTAGTAAGTTTTAACAGGATGATCTGAAAACCATAAGCACGATTTAGTTTGCGCAATTTATAGAAGCAATCAAGTTAATGACAAAAGCCGGGATTTTATTTCTATATTTACCCGGTGCATCCCATCCCATTGCAGTTTTTCCGGTTTTTAGTTAATTGCGTTTTACCCATTTACCTACGCAGGTGGATACCAGAAAGCTTACCTATCTAATGCCTTAATAGCAATTTGATAATAGGTACCTATGTATAATTCCTATTCAGATTGTGTCACCTCTAGAAAGAAAACTCTCTCAGCTTATAAAATAACAAATAAGATACATGAATTCCGGTGAATTGTTTCAATATAATAAACATGAATATGATTCATTATGTTTACCGCGTCCTAAATGTTTTCGGTACCCACAATCGCCCAAATGTTGCAGATAGAGATTCGCAATTGTTATGTCGTGTTGGGAAACGAATGAACATCACACTGGCAAGGTTCTGGCGAATATACAAAAACATGAACCAACCGGCGAGAGTGCTTGATTAACTGCTGTTAAATAAATGAAAATTGGCATTTTACCAATTTTATAAATATTTTTTTACTGGAAATTTAAACTGTTTGCAATCATTTGCGACATCTCGGTATACAAGAGTACAAGGAATTGCTCACAATTTGCTGATAAATTAATTTAGTATGTCGCATTTATTTTCGTATCGTTATTGACAATGTTGAAATTAAAATTAAAAAAATTGCTATATATAAACGTTTCCTGTTTTTTTAATATTCGTTTTTATTCATTTACGTCAAAGCTATTAACAAAATATGATTATCATCAAAAATTTGGAATATATAATTAGAAACTCTTACTCTATAATTTATGATTTGATCTGCATGAATAATTCAAATTAATTTTGTTGGTAGGCAGAATGATTAATGATTATTAACTTTTAAGGTACTTTTCTGTAGTTCTTGGGGTGTCACCAGGCAGAAAAATTAAAGAAAAAGAAGTTAGAAAATGACTAGTCTAAAACCAGTTGCTTTATCTCATTCAAACAATTGTTTTGACAACTAAGCTGTCATCATCAGCGACCTACTAAAAGAAAGAAACTAAGAGTCGAAACGCGTACGTTTTATTAAAGTTTTATTGTGGTTCCTTGGTGTTTTTGTTTCAGTTTTTTTTACTTCAGTGGTGACAAGGGCTACTTTCCATTGTGAATTAGACAGGCTTATAACCGAATAAACGATGAATAATGTTTTTATCTATTAACCAGCGGGTTGGTAATAACCTAGGCCGTTTGGTTTTTTTTTAAAGGTTCAGTAATATTGAAAATTTGTTATCTGTCCACCTTCGCTGGCTTATACAGACAAATATTTAAAGAAAACTCAATTTAATCAACCACTTCAAAAGGAGATGTCTAAATGTAGGTAGGTGTTTTCTTCTCCTTAAAGTTAGAACATTTAGGTGCTTTGTATACGTTTATATTGTCAAATTGTTTCCCAAATTCTAATCTAATCTAAGAATTGTTTGATCTACCGTTTCAGCTAAAATGCTTAAGTAAAGATTGGCAACGATCTAAACCTATATATAAATTTGTTTTAGAATAATTGATGCATTAATTAAACATGAAATTCTTAAATTAAATTAAAATTCGCAAAAATCAATTCAGCCTTGTGTAGGTAACTGTTAAGTAACCATATGCATGACACGAATCTCAAAATTCGTTCATTGGCCTACTCGAAATGTACACAATTTATTTATTATATGTTTCCTTGTGAAGGAGTTCGATTGTTGTTTTTAAGACAAATCACGTATCATCCTTCAATAACTAAACGTAATAATGTGTGGTTTGTTTTAAGGTAACAGATATGCGCTGTACGTTGTGTACGAGAACTTGTTATTTTATGTAAGAATTTTTAATAATTTGCGTAAAACCTTTAATTATCTTTCCAAAAAACTCTAGCATCGAACAATACCTGTTAGCAACTAGTATAATTGATGCAAAATTGCCGTGAATAAAAAGCGAAAATTTTCAAAAAAAAAATAATTTATGCATTATTTATAATTGTCATACGCGAAATACCAAAAAAAAGTTAACTATATGATCAAAGTTTACTCGAAGGACAATCGCGTCACTTAGGATAACGCTTTTTTGGTGGGGATGTTAAGTACGTCCACTATTGACGGTGGACCCCCCACTTGAAGCATCCAGTCTGAAACCCTTAGATATAAAAACCAATATCACAATTTAAGATGTTTGAATAACGATCATACTCAAAAGTTAAATTTTTACCTTGTGAAGTTGTTGGTGACTGAGTTATCAAAAATATTAACATGAAGTTTACTTACATAGAACACGCAAGTAAGTTTGTAAAGTAAGGCCCGTGTCCGTTATTTTACACTGTGTTTAGTGCGACATTTAATAGTAATAAAATATGAAACTTCTACTAAGATTCACTGTATTCAACATTAAATAGTAGGTACCTTGTAAACTACTTACATTTAGATATTGAATATAAGGATATAATTAAATCGTTGAATACCACTTGTATTATACAATTTCTCCGGGATTATATCACAATTACATAATTTGGTAAACTGTAATAAGACAAATTGTATTAGTGGAACGGTTGATTTTACGTAGAAAGTATATGTACTTATATTGCGTGCTTGTCTGTATTCCCATATTTACATTCGGATAATAATGTTATTCAGCAGGGGTTTCAGTTAATTTTTTGATTTGGTTATTATCTAAAAGATAACTGAAGAATAATTGCCAGTGCTGGCTATCTATCTTACACACATAAATTATACCGCTCTCCCAAAATTTACATTCTTCATAACACATATCTTATCCTCAATAAATAATTAAACTAATAAACTTGTTTGTATTAGCAACCAGTAGAACTTCCGAAGTGAGTAACTCTTTTCCAATAACTAGTTAAACGTTAGTTGCAAATGTTTAATTGGCCTTCTATTGGTCTTGCGGCCTACATTGTCTATATGGTATTATGCAGACTAATATGGGTCAATGCAGAAAATAAAGTGTAGTTACAGTTTTTTCTTTCGCATAATTGCCGGCAGTTCTGTAATCATGGAAAGAATAAAGAACAAATTTTTAGAATACGACAATTATAAAATGTGCATATTTTTGACGGTCAATATTCAAGGTGGCTTATAATTATATAATCTTGGCCAAGGTACCCGTTAACATCCAAGTAGGAGTTGTTACAAATATCTTTGCATCAGACGTACTTTCCCGTTATTCAATCACTATCGGAGGGTCTAAGTGACAAACAAAAGACCTTCCATTAAAATTATTTAGATGTGCCATCTATACAATTTCTGTTATCAGCGTCTTATAAAGTGTTCATCCATGTGTCATTAGACAAATTTATAGGAATACTACAAGGAAAAGATCTTGAGGTCAAAAAGTCTCCTGTGGTTACTTTGAGCTGGCAATTGCGTAAAGTTTCGTACGTCACAGTTGTGCGAAAAGTGCCCATCTTCATTAAAAACAAACAACCTTGTTAAAACTACCGAAAGTATTCAGATCACAATTTAAATTTGTTTCTTTTCTCATTTTCCTTTAAAAAATGGTGGATATTTTAAAACGGTAGTTTGATTATCATAATTCATAATGCTCCAAATACGTACGTGTACCTCCTGATTCAATTATTGGTACACAGGAAAATATTGGCGTCTCCATATTTTTTTACAATAAGCTCGGCCAAACTTTCGTCTTCATTTTATAACGGTAAATTACGGGTTGGTTGAAGTTACCTCATTCGTTTTAGCACAGATTAACTACAAATCTGTGCTTTTAGTAATCTACTTTTAATAACGAAACGGCATGATTGCATCTTTCTGAGTAACATCTGCATTTTCACTAAAAACATACAAGATGTGCTCAAAAGTAAATCTTTCAAACGAAAAGGTTTTTAGTACTTCGATGACGCAAATTATAGCTAATTAAACAAGTAAAAAAAGTCATCGTAAACAATTTACAAAAAGTGCATTTCCACACATTAGCAGTCTGTTGGAAAAAAAATCGTTTTGTCTGACGGAGAAAACGTTTGACATTGTATCTCTGTTGATAGGTAACAAAATGTCACTTTTTATGAAATTACTTTTTTCCGAGCACTACTTTTTTCCCGGATGTACTCGCATACACACATAAGTAAAGATAGATATTCAATTTTTGTGAGGCTACTTAACCTGCTTCTACTAACTCAGGTGAAGCCAGGGAAAATTCAGAATCAGAAATTTTTAACTTTAGGTATATCATTCAATATAACTACTAACCAATCATTAAATTCGAAATGTTTAAATCAAATGACAAAACTGAATTGACAGATATTTGAGTACCTAAAGGTTTCCTTAGTAACGCAGTTCGTATTGTCGCGAGAGAAGTACAACAGCCTATCTGCAGTTTAAAACTTTAAATTTCTTAAATGGATACGACTTCAATATATCGTTTTCCCCGTCACAGAAAAAAATAGTGTATAATACACGGGAAAAAGAGCTAAAATCTAATACTTTTTTCCCTTGTATAATAAATAACTATTAAATCCGTACAGAAATAAGAAAGTTGGCGCATGCACAACATATTCTTTGAAACGTCATTTCAATTGTACTTTTCAACTAACTTTTTTTAGTAATAAATGAAAATTTAGGCCTCGACACCATAACGAATCAAAAAATAGAGCAATAGTTCTTAAGATAAAGATCAAGTAACGACACATCCGCAGGAATGGACAGACGGACAGCAAAAGGGGTCACAATAATGAATTTTTTTTATATTTGTGGAAATGCGCTAAAAATGTATTCTATTTTTATAGCTGTTTTAGTTGACTATGAACAAATTATTGCTTCAAAACATGGTATACTGGTATAATTATGAGATCAGCGCTCTTGTAAACAAAATTCTAGGCGCTTCGTCTTCTGTATTTCATAATTGTCCTATGTTGCACTGCCGAATAGGCAAACGTGTTTTACAACGACCCCCACAAAATAGCTATTTATACAATAAGTTGCGAAATGACACTCTTTTAGGCACTAGTGCGTAAACGTGAAAGTTTTAGGCACTAGTGCCTAAAAATAAAAATGAAACATTAAAATCATAATGTTGTCGTAGATATTTTCGTATAAATGTTTCGATTTTTCGGGTACTAACGTGGATAGCGCAGCTTCAGCAGCTTGTTCAATATCCACAGACTCGGCAATATCACTCATTTGAAGTAATTTTTTCGCAAAACTTTGCGGGAAAGACGGCAACACGCTACGTTCAACCTTTACGTCACACTTGACATTAATAAATAATTCATAAACGATGCCTTAGAAACAGATTGCCTGCCTACTTTTCAGAATGTTTAAAAATACTATCTAATAAAATTATCATTCTCCGCTTTCACAAAAAATCTTTTTGTGGAAGAGGGTGGAAATGCAAACCAAATTTTTAGGCGAATCGCAACTTTTCGTCAGAAACAAAGTGCTTGACGCCTCATTATCTGATTAATTTTCAATAACCACTCGTTGCGGATTACATGCTCTTATTTTTATGATGGTATGAAATGATATTTTAAAAGTGATGAGTTCTTGAGTCTGTATTATTTGTGACTCGATTTCACCCAAAATGAGAAGTTTAATCAGAATCTGTAATACAAAACCAGTGAGCTTTATATGCAGTACCAGTGCCAACCATTTGTTACCGACTCTCAAAAGTGCCACCATATGGTAAATATTCAAATTCAAATGAGCATTTTTGGAAATAACCTCTTCAAACGAAACCGAAACAAAGGTTTTTAACATAAACTCTTAATAATAAATCGGTTTCATATCAAACGGAGGAAGTTGTTTTCCTGTCTATTAAAGAAAATTTTTCTCACCAAATTTACATATAGAGAGCAACTTTGACCTATCATTTTCACCTTTGGCTGTTAATTGCCAGAGCATTCTGCCGGATTATGGGAAATTATTGTACACAGTTTGAATTTCCCGCAAAGGTACCAGTGGGTATCACCTTATTTGTTATGTAGTTAAAATCGGTTTACTCCTTTTCTCACGAAGTTTGCAATTTTTGGGTTGAGTGTTGCGTCCGATGATCGGAAGTAATTGCAGATATTTGGAATTTACCGCAAAATAAAACGGTTGATTCCACCTTATTGTTAATTTATTTAAAACTGGCGGTTAATCAATGCAATTGATAAGTACAACAACAGTGTTAATAATTTAACCGATTGCTAAACCAGACAAGAGTTGCGATGCCGTGCCGTGATGTTCCGCCATCTGAGATCTTAGAACAAACAAACCCATGTTTTTAATATTTAAATAAACTGAATTGATATAAAAACGAGCAATAAGGCCACTTCCGGTTGACAAGTATTAACCTTGACCATTGTCTACCTATTACTGAAAACAGAATTGGAAAATTCGAAACCGTTCGCGAGTTCTCATGTATACAGACGGACGGACTGATTGACAGAAAGTCCAAAATCATGAATGAGCGTTGTCGCTCGTGAATAATGGTTTTTTCTTTCATATGAATATTTAGTCGTATCCAAGCACCAACTTGATTACGTATAATTAGCCAAGTGGAGGTTTGCTCTACAGTACACATCCACCTGCTGTAGAAATAGCTTGTAGACCTAGTTAAAAGAATGCTCACCAATACCTAAAACACAAAATACGTACGTAATTCAGATTGTAATATCCCAGAAATCTACCATTTTGGCACAGTTCCAGTGTGGCCACCAAAATAAGTAATGCAAAAAAACATCAAACATTAGAAGATAGGGTTGATTATGATTAGTATCCGGTACCCTAAACGTTACCCAAGCATCAGTTATAAACTTTCAACAATGGAATTTATAGACAACTGAATTAGGTGTCTTCGAGCGTGGAAAGTGATGGGTTGGAACATCGAATTTTTGGAGAATACAATAAACTCTACCTCTAAGTTAATTTTTCGGGCAAAGGATCTCACCTTGAAGTGATAAAAGGGAATTTTTATAATAGCGATCTCTCCTTTTTGTTATTGGTAGTGCAAAGTTTAATTACTCCCCAGGAAACACCAAATAAAATTAAAAAGGCGATCCCAAGCATGCAGTGTGGGAAATCGAATAAGTTCCATTATGCATGATATTTACTGTTTTTACAAAATATATACATAATTAGGTACTTGTTGTAAAGCTGCCATTATACGTTGAAGAATGTTGGTGTGTATATTCATATACCATTGAATAATTTGCATATTGAAACCTGTGTCTACAGAAGGTATTCAAATTTATGAAAAATAGATGAAAACTAAATGCATGCTATTGCTGTTGATCCAGTCAGTATAGTCCAGTCAAATTACGGTTT